AGCACACCCCATTTTTGGCCAATGCAACAAATTGGCAGGGCCCTGCCATTCCATTTGAGGCAGCCAAGTTGTTTGGGTGACTCCAAGCAACTTAAGTGAGTTATACAACTCAGCCTATTGTTATGTACATCAACCAGGCAGCATTAAAATGGCATTAGAATTGCAAAAGCTATAGGATTCCATAGAAGCACATGACCTAGTAGAGGCCTTCTGACTTCCGTATAAACATGGGCTTATTCCCTTATTGTTAAAAATACTGGATCCTAATTAAAGGAAAATCTTATTATGCAAAAGTTATGTGGCTAATCATAAGTTCAGATTCCTTCCAACTTTAGCCAAGGTTAGAAACTAGGAACCTACAATAGGACTTGTTCTTGCTGTGCAACTAATATTTTTATAAGAGCTTTTCTGCTATAGGATTCCATAGAAGTACATGACCTAGTAGAGGCCTTCTGACTTCCGTATAAACATGGGCTTATTCCCTTATTGTTAAAAATACTGGATCCTAATTAAAGGAAAATCTTATTATGCAAAAGTTATGTGGCTAATCATACTCTCCTTTCCAAAACTGCATAAATATTCATAATATTTGAAAAGTTTGCTGTGGCATCTTCCACATGTCAGTTTAGATCCAGTGCAGAATTTCTGCTTATGCTAAAGCTCTTGCAGAAGCAGAAATGCAAGAGCAAAACTGCAGTAGCGAGATTTATTGTATCACTGCTTGCATTCCCATTTGTGCAAAATTTTGTATAACCAATTTTGGGGCATTCTAGGGACGAAAGCTCTAGGTGTTGCGCAAGGTCTTGAGCAAGCAGAATTATGCTAAGTCTGTTTATACCTGCCTGTTGTAGGTCATGTTTTTGTGGAAAGCAGAGCAGGTGCCTAAGACTTAAAAAGCATGATGTACAAAAAGCCTTTCTTTTCCATGGTGGCTCCCTCGTAACGTGACATTTTTTCACCAATGTGAAGCTTGCCTAGCTTGTGTTTCTCACCTTGTTCCTAGGTAACTGTGTAATAAAGAGCCTAAGAATAGGTTGCCAGTTATTGTGCTGGTGTTTCCAATAAGTCCAGTTAAATAGACCTGAGTAAGAGTCTAAGCAGACTTGCATAGGATTGCTCGTTAATTCAGCTATCCCTATGATCACATCTAGGAATGTGCAAAAAAAAAATCATTTTTTTCTGATTTGGGTCTATTGGACCCAAAAAATATTGATACTCCCGAATACCAATATTGATATTCATGTAAATATTCAGGAAACCTGAATTTATTCAGCTCCATTATACCCTATGGGGACCGTCCTTATAGGGTATAATGGAGAATTGCACTCACTGAGTTGTGCCATGGCAGCGGCACGACTCGGCAAGTGAACTGAAGGCATTTAACCACGCCCAAATAAAAGTCGAATAATATCGGCTTTTATTTGGGTGTGGTTATTTTGGTAGCTGAATCAGATTGTCTAATCTGTATTCGGCTGAATAAATACCCAGAAAATACTGATAAGGTTTTTCTAGGTATTTATTCGGCTTAGTATATACCGAGCTCACACCCCTAATCATATCTCAATGGACGAAGACCAAGTTCTGTTGTATGTTGGCAAAATTCAAATCTTGCGTCCATGAGCTGGATCAGGGCAGCTCATTACCAATGAGCAAGAGGTTGAAGCACAATACTAATTTATAAGTTGCAGAGTTCACATGGCTTTTTCTTGGGAAGCACAACCTCTTAATGCTGCAGTGAAATGCTATCAGTGACTCGTTTCCAGATGATCACTTGCATTGTTCCTGAAGCTCTAGTAAATTACTGTGCTTAAGAACTGGGAATTTTAAACTCAGAAATAAGAAGGGACACACCTTTTCCTTCTATAGGCATGTTCTATGGACTGGTTGGATCACCATCTATTTATATACCTTTGATAGTTGTACTATTTTAAGGAGGTATTGGAAAGATCCTCTGAATGTAGTATTTATTTCATTTATACACTGCTTTTCTCCCCAATGGGGACCCAAAGTGGTTTACATCGTTCTTTCCTCCTTCTCCTCCTTCTTCTCCTCTCAATAGCCCTGTGAATAGGTTAGGTGAAAGCCTGTGGCTGGCCCAAGGTCACACATCAAATTGTCATGGCGGAGTGGGGATTCAAACCTGGCTCTCCCAGCTCCTAGTTAACCAGTTCAGTATGACTTTCACACTGTGTGTGAAAAAATTCTGTCAAGGAGGCCATTCAGGTTTTTTTTTAGCTTCTGTCCTCTCTTGTTCTGCTTGAGAGAGAGAGATGGGAGTTCAGTTCAATCGTTATATGGTATACTTTAGATACCGTGCCCATTACAACAATATCTTTGAGATTCCAATTGGGGTCTGTTCATTCTTTTATAACCCACACTGACATATTACAGTTCTCTGAACTATACAATAATATGATATGAATCTGGTGCAGTTCTGATAAAGTCCTTGTGTACAACCTGCTGATCTGTAATGACCCCAAATGAGCCATTATCGTCAATACCAATACTAAAATGGATTTTTACGCCAATTGTACAGTTCGTTGCAAGACAAAAGAATCAGTTGCTCCTGGTTTAGCAGAGCTAGATCTTAGTTAAGTGTGCTTCTTCCATTTATGCAAGATTCACTGGTGCATAAATCCTGTTAACAATCAATAGTGGAATCTCTGCCCGTAGTGTAGAATGTAGAATTCCAAATGTTTTCACTTGCTGTTAAGAGATTCTGCTGTATATATTGATGCTGAGATTTCAAGGGAGCCTTAAAGTCTGAGTTTTTCTTTGCGGAAGTTCCTCAGTTTCTCCAGGTGCCCCTTAAGATGCCAAAAACACTAAGAAATGTGATGATGCATATTACACTTGTATTATAGAGATGATGGATAAGAGTGGTTGCTGAAGTTTCATTAGGTTGGGTTGTGGCTTAGTGGTAGGATGTCTGCTTGGCATGCAGAAGGTCCCAGGTTCAATCCCCAGCATCTCCAGTTAAAAGGATCAGTATGAAAACCCTCTTCCTGAGAGCTATGCCAGCCAGAGTAAATAGTGATTGGTAGACTCAAGTATACCTGTTCACATGTCACAGTGAACACACATACACCCTTCATGCACATCTCTTTGTAAGAAACAGAAATCATGCCTTCACTTTACAAATGAATATGGGAAACTAGTACCTGCAGAAATTGACGGTTTCAATCACTTGTTGAGTTGCAAATGCATTGAATGTAACACAAGAATTGTGCAACACATATAAAGAAAAATCAAGTGTACACTATACACAGTTTGTATGAGTGTTCACTGTAGCTTGTGAACATGGCTACTATGAAGGCAGCTTCATGTGTTCAGCCACAACTATAGATGATACCCGTGTTTATAAATTGCCAGTGGTATAATTTGGATTACAGAGTCCTTTGTCCCCAGGCAAGGAAGTCTGGCTGGGAGCTGAAATTTACCAGTGCTCCCTAGTGCTTTGGGAATATTGTTTCCTAAAAGACATTCTCTGCTGTCAGTCTCTGTCTGGTGAAAGCATTTTCTTTACTGTTTCCTTTCAGCCATCTCCTTCTCAATTCATTCTCCAAGAATCTATAACTCTAGAAAATTAAAATGTTTTAAAGTATTTAAGCAAATAAGCCCTG